TATACTGTAAAGCCCGCAAAGCATCTTTAGGCTATATCTTCATTTAATAATAAAAAACATAGTTTTGGGCTTTTCTTTGCATATAGACGCTTGATACATTAAGAACGACTGATATAATAACTTGAGTAATAATTAATATGTATTTGTTACTTTACAGATTTAATAGATATTTGTTGTTACTTTATTAACGTTTCTACGCTTATACTGTGAGGTAAAAACGGCTGCTGCTATGATTTTGTCTGGTTTATGAGTTCGTTGCTGTCCTAATTTAGGATCTTATTTTTAATAAATTCTTGAAAATGTTAAAAAAGAGAGAAAGGGGGGCCCGGAGAGGATGTTTGCCCCGGGGCTCGTGCTGGCTCTCGACGTTCCTGCAACCCACCAAAAATACTTATACAGTATTTCATAATTCTTACTAAATTGACGATTCAGCAAAATTGTTATACCATAAAAATTCTTTTAAAAGGGGCTAGTACAAAACGAATCAATTATCAGGAAAGAGCTGTTCCTTTTTCTATAGAATACTAACTGAGTTACGAAAGTAAAAAAAATAAAATGAACCTGGCAAGCAGCGAACAGATGTCCTTGAAACTTGTTGATCACTGTATATTTGTTAACTTCCTTATCTTCATACCAAGCCACAGGGGTAAGAAAGCCACGTGGGTTAGCCAATCCGTTGGCGCCTAAGAGGTTATGACGTATCATTTAATATGCATAATTGAGTATAGCACTTTTATTAACCACTATGATATATAACACAGATGTTAATGAGTTAAATTCAAAAGAAACACACATTTTATCATAAAACATATTGAGTATAAAAGGAAAGTTAATGGCTTAACATTAGAGTTTTGAACAAGAGTGTAAAGTATTTTCAACCTAAACAGTTAAGCAATAAGACCACAACAGTGAAGTACAGTAGTCTCTAATTAAAACCTAAAGCCAGACGGAGGGTAGCCTGTCAGTGTTCCCTACCACCTACAAGCCAGACGGAGGGTAGCCTGTCAGTGCTCCCTACTGCCTACACCACTACCCTAAGCCAAATAAAGGGATTTATTTTATTTCTATCACGCCCACACAGGTAAAAATGTGGAGTGTGTTTAGTGGTATACCGTGAGCTCGAACCTCGGACATTCAACCTTGCGGTACATTAACTTCTAGACCACCTCTGGCCCAGTTTATTTAAATTTCACTTACAGATCCAACTCGTGGATATTTTGGGGATAATATGCATCGGTGTAAGTATACAGGTATATAACCGTTAAATAATATCCGAGTTATTCTCGAGATACATGATCGTTTTTATGGTTAAAAGATGAAACTAACCGTAAAAACGTAAGCAACTGGCAGTGAAGCAGTGTAGAAAAAAATTATAATGCCACCTTTTCAAATTAATGACACTCGAGACGAGTCTCGTAAAATAATGGTCAACGTAACACTGTTGTCAGAGGACAAACTTTTCCCAGGTGCAAATGGATTGATACTTTTTCCTATGTTACTTGTAAATATTTATCTCACGTTTGTTTGTTTGTAGTTAAGCTCAAAGCTACACAATGGGATATCTGTGCTCTACCAACCACAAGTATCGAAACCCGGTTTCTAGCGTTGTAAGTCCGTAGACATACCGTTGTGCCACTGGGGGGGGGGGGGCTTTATCTCACGTATGTTCTGTACTGAATTATGTTTAATATATTTATCCCAAGTCTTTGTTAATAGAATATGCCAAGAAATCTCTTCATCTTTAATTTATTGCATTTTTTTTTAAGTTCAAGAATTTAATTTGAACTGTCAATTAAAAGTCACGTGATGTTTTCAACAATGATTACTCATTCCATTCATACACGCAAGATTCAACTCTCAAGGACTACAACCGAATTAAAATCAATTAAACAGGAAAATTATCTATAACTGAACCTTTACAGAGAAATTGAGTCTTTCCTTCTTAGACTTTAGTGGTTTTAAGCTCTTGTTAACTCATTCAGAAATAACTGAACCTACCTATTGGTCCAAGTGGCGGCAGAACGAAATGATTATTATAGACTTCTAGAATATATCCACGAGTGGGGCCTTTCAGTTCAACAGAGAATCTCATCCCTTGCTAAAATCAAATAAAATCTCATTATATTCGCTACAATTTATATGACGATTACTCATACATTAAATATTATAATCTATATATTACATGAACGTTACACCATTCATTAAATATTACATAATTTATGCAAATTATACATTACGTGATCTTTAATCCAGCTGTTAAATATTATATGATTTACACAAATGATATATTACATGAACGTTACTCCAGTCGTTAAATATTACATGGTTTATGCAAATTACAGATTACATGACCGTTACTTGAGTCGTTAAATATTGAATGATTTAATCAAATTATATATTACATACCATTACTCCAGTCATTAAATAGTTTACTTGATTGTTGTATTATATACCCACTACATCATAATTTCTAAAAAAATATATTTTTACTGAAGAGGTAATTTACCTTTTTACTTGCTTAAATATATTAATTACGTGAATATTTTCTAAAATTATCTAATAGAAGGTTTATCTTGACTACTTATACCATTTTACTGCTGTTATGTTTTTAATTCCTCCTCAAACCTTCGTACTAGGTTGTAGTTTATATTAAATTATGTTTTGGCATTGTTCTAGAATAATAGTAAACTGTTCGCCTACCTGCCTGTCTCTCTGTTCATTTAGCATTTTGAGCTTAAAAAATTCAAATAAAAAGAATTATGAAAATATATATATGTGTGTGTGTGTGTGTGCAAGAAAACTCTGAATATCTTACCTGAATGACACAAATTTCGTTTGGTTCAACAAGCATCTTTCCGAATTCAGTGGTTATCCAAAGTTTCCCTTGTTGAGGCACTTGAACGCAGTTAGTAATAAAACAAACTCATTAATCTTTACATTTATAGCGTTTACATTGTAACAATTCAAACCTAACTATCATAGATATGCCGGAATCAATCTTAACATGAAAGTTTCACATAAATAGTTTCAATATTTTAGCAGTAACGACATAATATAGTTAAAAACACAAAACTTTTAAGTAATTTCAACAAAAATAACTGTCAAGTGGTTTACTTTTGTAGTAAGTCAGCCCACTTAGAAAACAAGCGTGCGAATATATTTCTACAACTGATGTCAGGTAAAGGTAATCTCAGCGAAATTATAATAAAATACATTCACAATATTAAGGTAGAAAAAGCTGAAATATAAACAGGATAATGCAATCTAAAAGCCCCCTGGTGACTCAGCACTGAGTATGAGGACTTTTAAGGCTACAAATAGGGTTTCCATGCTCTTTACGCGGAGAGCACAGATAGCCCATTTTTTATCTCTGTGCATGACAACAAACAAACATAAGCATTTGAAAAATACTGATTTGGAAGTAGGTAAAAATGGTTTGTAATAATTTTATTGCGTCAAAATGCCGTGCTTTGTTTCCTTGACGGTTCAGCGGTAAGCTTGAGGGTTTATAACAATTAAATTCAGGATTCGATCCCTGTAATAGGCACAACCCAGATAATCCATTGTATAGCTTTGTGCTTAACAACATACGTAGAAGAATATCATGCTTGGTGCTTACACACAAAACATATACCTTATGTGGACATAAATGTTCCATTTCGGGAATTGAATAAAACAGAACGGGAGTCACATTCGCTTCATTATCGGTTTTTCTTCTTGCTTTAATAAAGTGTTAATAATTTTGATGTAAACATTCAAACACTTCATACAATTATATACATATGAACAGGATGTTTGAAATCTTAAAGTGTTAAAACTTAACAAAGCAAAAGCGATATTAATAGTAAGATAACCAAATATAGAGATCTTAATAAAGAATTAGAAACTTACCAATTCAGTTAATAGCTTAATAAAGTAAAAGATATCTTAACACATTTTTAAAAGGTAAAAAAAATAAAGATTTTAATAAAAGTGCTCGAGACCCCAAAATTTTATTGATGAGGGACAATGTTGTTGTTAGCTGAGCAGCTTACCTATCAAGAAATCTCCATCCGAGTTGTAAAAACACCTGAAAAAATATATTGAAAGAGTATCGTTCATATAATTGTGTTTCGTCAAATGTTTCACATAGAAATGTACCTTGTGAGTTATATCTGTCAAAAATATCAATTATATAAAATAAAATATTTAAATCAAAATTTATATGTCCTATGATGAGAATACCTATCTTGTGAAGGCTAAAAATATTTGTAATATATTTATAAAACAAAACAAACACACAAACAAATTATTAAATGAAATAAAACAAGGTTATAAAGCTTTCAAAAGTTACATAATTTTGTCTGTTACTTTTTTATCCTTCCTTCCCGTTCTTAGAAAACCAGTTTTAAAAGAGATTTGATAATACAATGCACAAGCCGGTTTTATTCAAGGTACTGTGAAAAACAAACAACAACAAAATCTACTTATATTGCTATTGTTTTCCTTTCTTGGATGTCTTCATGATTACTATATGTATTACGGAGGCGCCGAACAAACATGGGGTCCAATCTAATCCGATTCTTGGCAGGTATTTAGGTTCAAAATATTTTACTTGGGGCCTAAGAGATAACCTAGGGCGATCCGAAACTGCTGTTTCTCTTCGCCCCGTACGTGGAGAGAGAGTAAAGCTAATAATTGTAGAATGAAGATTTGGCAATTTTTTGTTGTTTACATTCGGAGATTTGTTTTGTTTATCAAACAGTCTGAGATTTACGAAGAAAGCCGGAAAGAGCTGGCGTTGCTTTTGCTTCTTCTTCATTTCATCTTGGAAGGTATTTTGGTTTAGTAGAAACCAGCTGGGGGTGGGGGTGAGTACGTGGTCATGCGGACTGAAATTTGAAATTAAGGGGAGACTCATTATGATTATCAGTTACCGTATTTGTCGGAATATAAGACGCATCCTTATTTTGAAGACAAAGTTTTGGGGGGAAAAAAGCTACAGTCGCATTTGAAAGATTTTTATTGAACAAAAATTCAATTTGATACTTTAAAAATTAGTATATAAACACAAAAGAGCTCAAAATAAGAAAATACCGTAAATTAAAAAAAGGTTTACTGTTATTTAGTTTGGTTCAAAACCTACAAAATCTTCATTGCTTTCACTGTAATTTATTTTTTCATTATTTAGGGAGCATTATAAATAGTTATGTTTTAAAAGAAAAAAAACTACTACTGTTATAAATAACACATTTAATTGAACTAAACTATGCATGCCTATTTAAATATATTTACACATGGCTTGTATATATCGTATATATATATATATATATGTGTATTAATAATGGCTGAAGACGGCTTGAATGGGTAATGAAGAAAAACTTTAATATAAGTTTTCTTCATTACCCATTCAAGCCGTCTCCAGCCATTATTAGTCTCAAAGTGGGTTCCTCGTCATCGAATACATATATATTATTCATACCTTCGGTGTATAGGACGCAAGCAGATCAAATTTTTGGGTAAAAAAGTGCGTCTTATACACCGAAATATACGGTAAATGACGAACGGCACATTTCATGCCGGCGAGGATCATGAGACCTAATAGCAGGATTTCGATGTGCGGAGAGGGGGGCGGAGAACCCGGAGAAAACCCACTTTCACTGCTCGGGCACCGAATAATCTACCCGAACAGTGCCTTTAGTGTTGACCCGGATGGGGGTGAAGAGTACATGTTAGCATACGAAAATGAATCCTAGTTATGATTGGAAATAAAGTTGTACAGAGACCTGTATGTTAACCAAGTTATTGGCTGGCGTTGCAGCTAATGTTAGGAATTCATTGTTAGTATGGTGTCGGGCTGACACGCTTTGTGGGATCCTCCTATTTTCCGAGGTAGTTTATTGTTTTTAGGTTAACGTTAGCACTAATTTTACCGAACTTATATGTCCATGTTAATTGTTTGTTGAAGATTAACCCTAAGAATGTAGTAGTGTTTGATTGAATAGGTGATGTGTGAGTCAGGTATCTTAAGTTTTACTTTGGGGAGTTGTTTTCTTTTTCATGTAATTTTTCTATGTAATGCGATTGCCTGTGTTTTACTGGCGTTTAATGCTTACACTCCATTTGTCATACCCGGTAATAACGAGGTATAGTGGTGTTTGGTCGAGGAGATTATTGGGTCACGTGACACACTCCAGATCACATTGTCATCTTCTTATTGAGAGGCATGTCGTTTACGAAAATGATATAATGGAACTTTGAGAAACTCCGGGTTGTTAAATGTGATATTGCAATGTTGACCTTTACTTTTGCTATACGATTGTGTAAGAAGCTTGATATCCATCTGAAGAACATTTGTGGGATATTAGTGTGGGACAGTTTGGATAATAGGCCTTTGTGCCAAACTGAGTCGAATGATTTTCGGACATCTAAAAATACTGTTGTGATTGCGGTTAAAGCCCTGGTTTATTGTTTCCAGCTGTTTGTCTGTTTTTTCGAGATGCATTTATGATATCTGACCGGATGTGTCTAGTTTCAGGATAGAGTAACAGTCTTCTAGGTATTATTTTCTAAAGCAGTTTTCCGATGCAGTTTGGCAAGCTTACTGGTCTAAAATTTCTGGAATCATGAAATTCGGAATAATATTTTCGCGATAACTTTGATTATGGCCTGTTTCCAGATTGTTGGGTAGTATCCAAATAGGAATAATAGGTTAAATAAGTGGTTTAGGTGATTGATAAAGTCGTCTGTTAAATTTTTTGATTGCTGTGTTCGGTATATTATTCTCACCTGGGGCAGTATTTTTTAAATGTTTGATATCTAAGTATTATAATGGAGCTTGCGATGTATATGTCCAAAACTCGGATCTAGGAAATTACCGCACCGATCATCACCAATCATAACTGAGTTATATTTTTATAACTATGCAGTATTTTAATAACTGAGCAATAAATAAAACAATTGAAATTTCCACAAAAATGATATGTTTCAGATTTAACCAATAAAAATTACAAACAAAAAGGAGTAAGTTTCAAGTAAAAAATAAACTTAAAAAAATTATTTGTTTTTTCTTTAGTGAAAATCTCACGAGTGTTGCAACAGAAATGCAATGTACTTTCATTGATAGCTGTGTCTACAAAGAAATATTTCAATAAAATCTACTCTGTGATGTAATGCTGTGATGATAACTCATTTTTAAACTAAAATTTCAATCAAATCCTTTCTCTCATGGATGGTGAACATTATTGAATGTCAAGTATGAGTACATTGTTGTAGAACTGTTAGACAGTTGCAGAAGAGGCCCCAGACCCAATAGTCTTCCACAGGAACTAGCAGTTATACCTTCCCTAAGGAGAAAGTATAAGTTGGTCATTCATTCTATGGTCATAAATGAACATTCAGTAAACATGTTTCAGTTCAATATGAAGTATGGTTGTTTGTTTGTAATTAAGCACAAATCTACACAATGGGCTATCTGTGCTCTGCCCACCACGGGTATGGAAACCCAGATTCTAGCATTGTAAGTCCATAGACATACCGCTGTGCCACTGGGGGGATGTTCATTGAGAATGTTTGACATAATCACTAAAAACCTTTCTATATGACATCAAGGTTTATCCAAATTGAATCACTTTATTTTGGCACGGTTACATTAACCTGTGTTAACCATTCGAATACTCATACTTCATCGAAATTATTTAAGTTAATTACCTAATTCACTACCATACTGATTTCAAAATTGAGTGAATGTATTGGGGCTATAGGGCGAAAAAAGGATATCCAGAATTAACATTTATAAACATTTCCAACTATACAGTTTTTCGTAGTATTAGACTAAAAACCAACTTGGAGAGTTTCGTTAAAAGTTAACTCTTATTGATATATTCTAAATATCCCAAGATTTGCATAAAAAATATTCGCAGGTGAAACGACACATCATTCCTGATTTATCCAGAAGTAACGTCGACATACAGAACAACAAAGGAATTTAAGATTAGTTAAACTTATATTGTTTTGGGAAAGCTTCTGAACACCCCTGATTGTCCTCAAACACGTTGAGGTTGAAAGGACGTTACCAAAATTACCACCCAGAGTATAAGTAAGTAAGTGTTGTTTTGGGTCACAACACGCGTGCTCACGAAAAACTGGTTAGACCAGTCCTAATACCCACTTTCTTCAAAGTAGGGAGAGGTAAGTGTAGACGAAAAATTGACGAGGAAAAGGAAAGAAAATTTATTCAAAATGGAATGGCACGTGCTTCGTCTACCCTTTCCCCTCGGTTAAGTCCCTACGACACGTATGGAATATGGTTGAATAACATCATCAACTAAAACGCCTTAAATAAAGCTAGAAACTGTGAAACTTAGCAAGCAGATGCTCACTATGTTCACAAAGAGACTATAGATATGGAACTTGCAAGATACAGTATGGTTAAAGCGATAGGAGTGTCAAAAGATGATTAAAATAAGAAGTATTCAATTATGCATCGAGAGAATTTCCATGAAAACCCTATGGTGTGCCACTAACCCAAAGATAGAGAAAGAAATGATAAACGTTCCTCCTGATGGCACTTGGTAACACTACAAAAACAAATTATACAGCTGAGGACAAGGTGTCGATCAGGGACATCACAGTAAACTGGCATTACTATAAATAATATAACTGGCATAATTATCCTTCTTAAATGTAGAGTTAATTAAAACTCGCCAGCCTTTTAAAAGACAATAATTTATTAACTTCTAATCAAATAATTCAATATCCTGTTCTATAAGGTAAGGTTTATTCTTCGGTATTAGTCTTCTTGCAAAATTTAACATATAGTAAATGTTAAAAAAAAAGCCCTAGGTAGCTCAGCGATAAGCGCTAGAGGTTATAACGCTAAAATTCTGGGTATGATCCTGAGATAGGCAACGGCGCATTTTTTATATTTCTGGCAAAGTCGTACCTAATTTCGAACTACTGACCAGATGGAAGACAGCCAGTCAACAGTACCCTACCACCCACCATTCACTATTGTACCGCACACATAGCTTAAAGTGTGAGGAATATTTTGTAGTATCGCACGGATTCCAACCCGGCTCACCAGCTTAGAACCCCAGAACTCTGCCACAGGACCAACCCGCGCCCCGACACAGCAAAGAAACCAAATAAAACCCTGAATAACTGTCATACATTTTTCTCTAACACTTACTTGTCTTCCATAGATGTGTTACACAGAAACATATGGATAGCAATTCCATGACGATCTTTTGGGTCTCCAGCCCCACACACTGTATTTAAACCCTGTAGAATTTAAAATTAGTCATAAATTTCTACATGTTTATGTATCTAATATACGTAAGATTACATTGTATCTTCTTAGACAGAATAAAAAATATGTAAGGGTGGGAAATTTAAAACTTAAATATTAGGAAGTGGAACGGTTTTTATATTATATAAAAAAATAAATGTGGAACTTTAATAGGGCATCAATAAGAAGAAAGAGAGCAGCGACTGCTGAATGTCATTCATATATTTCAAATTTGTAAAAATGTGAAGCAGATGATGCTAGAACTACATAAAAAACAAATACGAACAAAAAATGGAAAGATGCAAATAGAATCAAGAAATAGACATAGGGAGTGAAATGTCTTGAAACTTTATTGTAATATATTTATACAGTGTGTAAATCTTGAAGCTTGGTAAAACTATACATAAGGAGTGAAATGTCTTGAAACTTTATTGTAATATATTTATGCAGTGTGTAAAGCTTGAAGCTTGGTAAAACTGTACATAAGGAGTGAAATGTCTTGAAACTTTATTGTAACATATTTATACAGTGTGTAAATCTTGAAGCTTGGTAAAAGTATACATAAGGAATGAAATGTCTTGAAACTTTATTGTAACATATTTATGCAGTGTGTAAATCTTGAAGCTTGGTAAAACTATACATAAGGAGTGAAATGTCTTGGAATTTTAGAGTACTATATATATATACAAACTACGGAGTCGTGAAACGTCTTGAAACTTTGTAGTGATATACAAATACGGAAGTCGTGAAACGTCTTGAAACTTTGTAGTGATATACAAATACGGAAGTCGTGAAACGTCTTGAAACTTTGTAGTGATATACAAATACGGAATGCAATTCTTTAAAACGTTACAATGCTTTACGGTAGAGATTCTCAGACTGTGGTACGCGTACCACTGGTGGTACATAGAGCTAGTGTCGGTGGTACACGATACAATTAATATAAAAAATAATAAAATTTGTAGCAAGCCCTATCTGATCTTTCCACGTACATATACATACTACTATCCTCACTTACAGACTCACCCTCTACTTGCATAGACTCGCCATTATTTTCTTCCCTTATAATTGACAAAAATGGTACCACATATTCTTAAATCGTGACTGAAAAAAAACAATCGTATCTTTCGCATTAATGGGTAAGTGTTAAAATGTAAATTTTTGTTACTTGGTTTTTTTATTTTTTTCAATTAGGCCTAATTTTGTAATTTAAAAAAAAATTAAACAAAAAGTGGTATGCGAGCCTGAAACGTTTGAGAACCACTGCTTTACGGATACGAATGAAGTGTGTAGAAACTTCGCAGTAATGTATATACGGAGTGAAGCTACTAACAAGTTAAACACTTTCTTCTTACAGTGCCTCTTCTAAAACTTGCACTTTTTACAATTATAGCATTACCTCTAAAAAACTGTATTTTACTCTCATACTTTCACCCTAGAATTTACGCTTTTTCGAAAATTTTAGCGACAAATTTATTCTCTCTAATCTGACATTATTTTTTTTCTAAACAATTACATTCCATACACGTATATTATTTCTCTTGAGATTCTTGTTAAGTTGTTTATTTGTTTTTACTTATAACTTACACAGAATTTATAGCATAATGGTTTTATTGTTTTATAAGTCAAGTTTATCTACCATTTATTTTTGTGTTTTAATAATTCACTTTTATATATCCGTTAAAACTGTTGTTCTGAGAGAATAGCTGTATAACTTTATATTACTCACAAGCATTAAAAATAATAATCCATTTGAAAGAAACAAATGAAAAATACAAGCAATGTGCTGTATTTTAAAAAATAGGTGCCTTAAAACTTTCGATTTTTTAATCAAAAATGTTTTGCCCATCTCATCAGCTGATACATTTTGTACATTATAGAAGCCAGATGTTCCAAAAGGGAGAGAAAGTTTTGTTTTTTGTTCGTTATTTATCAGGATGATCCTATAGAATACCATCAAATGCTACAACGAGAAGTTTGTTTATTCGTGGTTGGAATTCTGCAAGCATACCAAAGGTGGTCAAGGTCAAGATGTAAATAAATAGAAGATAGGCTTTAGTAGAAGAGACGAAAATAAGAAATCTAGAACAAGGTCATAAGAGATTTCCCAACAGTACAATTGTAAAAAAAGAAATCGAATAAGATGTCCCCATTCAGTCGTAAGAAAGTACAAACATTAAAAGAAAATCGAATGGATTTTTAGATCAAATGGATTTTTAGACTTAGAAAGAGAGAATGAGGGATTTGCTAAAGAAAATTATCAATCAACGATAAATTTAAAGACCTAAGAAAAACAGAATTAGTTTGGAGTTTGAATAATTTTTCTAGTGACTCCAGAACAAAAAAAAAAAAAAAAAGATAATCTAAATATTATCACCAATAATCTACTAATTAGAATAATCATTATTATAAGTAACTATAACAGCATAAAAATGAAAACTGTTCGTGCCCAACTACCATTTCGGAATTACTTTTATACCTGCGAATAAATCTTTAAAAATGTTTACATAATTCTTGTGTAGCTCAACAAATACACAATTATCACGGGTAATACGTTATAATCCTTGTTTTTGCCTGATAAAACTATAGAAATTACTACATTAAAGGTACAACTGTGTCATCTCTAAGTCAGCAAAGTTGGGATACATTTTCCAATGCTGAAGTATTTTCGGTCATCATCACACTGTTATTTTATACATCGTTCTGGCATTGTATCTTGGTTTATGTTCAACACTAAAGTCGTGAAAGAGCTGATTGTAATTAAGAATAAAGCCCGAATTCCTTCAAAGAAGGATTATAGGTACCGCAAAACACCGAAAACTTAGAACAGTTAAGAAAAGCTCTCATAATAAAGATCAATAAACCAAAATTTAACCGAGCCTAAAATCTAGTAATATTTTGAATCATATTTTACATAAACTTAAGAAAAACAGGATTCAACAACCTTCCCAATAACAATTAAAATTATCCAAAGTTGAAAAGCTCTCCCTGAGATCCGCGCTCTCTTATTTTTCTTCTCTTTTCACAAAACCCAGGTCTTATGATGGATTCAACAGGGAGCCGATATTAAGAAAATCGGCAGGAGAACTTTGTCCACATGTTGAGTACACAGCCTAAAAAACTAAAAGTATCCTCCAGGAATTACGGGATTGTCAAATTAAATAAAGAAGAAACATAAACTCATTTTGATGGTGACCTAGTATAATTCATAGGACTAATTAGATAACTATTAACTCAGAATGGAAGAAGTGAACCAGAGAACGGTAGATGATGATAACAAGAAAGGAGATGATTTCTAAAGATAAGCCTCAGAGCCTAACCAGATGGGAGGGGTGACAAGGAGTTAAGTAAACATCGCAAACAGGAATTATCTGGACGTAATGAATGAAGCTCAGAAATGGAATCTTAAGCTGTATCCCAAGAATTATGAATTGTTTTGTGGACTGGCGAGTCCCCTGGAACATTTAGTCAGTAGAGAGGGTAGTGCAACGCCTAACCTTAATGAATTTGATTTTTGATAGGTGTTGTTTGTTTTATGATTATTTTTGGAAGTCACATTGAACCCTATAATTCACATTAATATCGGATTCATCTAATTTTGAAAGTTGTCAATATTTTTAGTTGTTGTTTTTTTTTTTCATTTTTAAATCATGTTTAGCCAGCATTTATGATTTTTGCTGGTACGAGCATTGTTGTTTCTGAAGTGGAATCTAGTGGTACGAATAGTTTTTATTTGTATTGTTGATTCTTTTTTACGTTATGTTAATCCATTATTCGTGTGTACTCAATGTTATGTTTTGTTTGCTTTTGGGGGGAAATATTCTGGATTAAATGTCAGTTCAGCTGTCTGATAACTTGTTTTATCACACGCATATACACTTTTGTATATAAACACATATTAGTTGAATCTCATAAGTCACACGGACTTCTTAACATAAAAATATATTTACATTCATATTCTTACCATATATATAGTTTGTTTTAAATACGTTCCGGTATGAAATTATTTAAGTAAATATTAACCTAACGGTCCTAACAACTCTCTGTTGGCCTTTCTCACGAATAACGATTTTTTAAAATAACATATACGTACATACATTTATATTAAAACCAAAAGTAATTAATCAAAAGTCGTCAGACCTGAACAAAGTCCACCCTTCTATCTTCAACATCTGGTATGTCAAAAGGATCCCATTTGAGCTGAAAAACAAAACCATAACGCACATTAATCTTACTGACATACTTCACTTTAATAAACATCAAAAAAGCGCAGAAGATAAATGTGGTTATAAATATATCATTACTTGTACACATAAAGCATAAGTATAAGGAAAAGTATTATAAACGTATTACCTATAAATATGCGAACCCAACGCTATAGAAAGCATTATAAACAAAATGATAAAATATGTAATGTATAAACATAAAGGAAAAAACATAGTACTAATTATTATAAATGTAGTATACATAGGCACACAAACAAATCATAATTTTCTAACTTTTGTAATTTAAACTCTTTTCTGTAATTATTTCATAATATGGTAATCTCTATATCTAACCTATTGAATGTATTATTAAAAACCAAATTTTCCCCTCAGAAAATTGTAATCGTTGATAATGATAATAAGCACTACAATAATAAACAAATACCTGAAATAAGCATGTAAATATTAATATACATTTAAAAAGCATAATAAAGGAAAGTTACAATTGGGAAAAACAATTTCTGTAAAATCAAAAAAAAAATAAACAGCATGTTATTAAAAAATCAAACTCATGGAAAAAAAATCATTTTCAGATACTGAGCTAGAAGCAAGGTTAATATCTTGTTCATCTTAATCACCTGATTCGGATTTGGCTCAAATATGTCCCAGTTTGTTGATAAGTTGCCAAGAGGAAGTTTTTTGAATGGAGTATGCAGAACTGAAGGACGAATTCGGTAGAGCCAACTAAAAAACGAAATAAGTGTATTAATATTTTCATAGAGTTGACTGCAAATATAATTCTTTAAACTAGAGAAAAATCAAGTCGTTACTATGTATTGAAGTATTATTGACAATAGATATAGTGTAAATACGATGGATTATGTACTTTTGACAAATGAATATAGCTATAGAAGCCTAGTGATTTATGTGCCTGGACTGTGAGGATTCGTGGTTCGCTTCCAATTACCTAAAAATGTTCTAAGAGCTTTGGGGCCCATAGATGCTTTATAAGCGTGACAGTCAGATCAATGTATTCGGGCAAATATAAAGAAAACGTTATGTAAAGAATAAATTGAAAACAGACAGCAAAGAGAAATAAGTAAATATTAGTGAACACATAAACAGATTATATTCACAATGTTGAAAGTGTTAACACTAAAACTGGCCAGCTTCTTGTTCGTTGACTATCTAGCTGCTGGAGTGAAGAGCAGAAATCAATAGAAGAACTAATAGAGAGAAAGCTAAGATCGAGAACTGTGTGATTACCTCCTTTATAGTTGTACTGGAGCTTTGTGTACCTTCGTGCGAAAATTATGAAACAAAGAGAAAATGATATTGAAAAAAATTATGACAGCTTTAAATAGAATAATAAAATTCTTATATCAGACAATAATAGTTCTAGCATATTTTTTCCGTGGAAAAATAATATTTATCTAGATGTATTTATTTTACGAAATTATTATTAAATGGAAAAAATTCGTGTATGCACACAAACAGTTGGATTATGTTAATGTCGTGCATTTTTATAACAAAAGAGCGACTGAGGTTCTTATGCTTTAAAAGTCAGATTTAGGGTTCGATGTTTGTTCATTTCGTTCTCCGATATCGAGAAGAACGGTTACATAAAAAGTTAACTACAGGAGACTCTCTATACAGTATAGAGTTTTGTTGTTTCTGGGGTGTTGACACACCTGAAATACCTCAGCCAGAAGTACCGTTTCATTTTTAAAAGTTCAGTTTAAAACAGCCTTAGGTCAAATGTGAAAAAAATTAAAGACCTGACATATTTCTCTTTTCTTTTTACCGTGCTTTTCAACAAATGCAGCGAATTTAAGACATTGTATCTACATTAAACAAAATCCAAATTTCTACGACATTTCATTTGTTCGTCAACAACAGAATAAACCAGACAATTCGTCTACTGTAATGTTTTTATCAAACTATTTATTCATGTTTCTTAAAAGGAGCATTTACTTGAAAATTGAAAAACACAACAACAATGTTGAACAGAGTTGTTTAAACATTTGTTTAACAACAAGTAAAAGCTTGGAATGGTCTATTCTTTTATTGGGGGTGTGTCTGTGGGCCAGACTACTTTCGGAGAATTCCAATCCTCATCAGTGACCCTGGACACGACCACCGAATGAAACTTCGTTCGTTCGTTTCTGTCAGTTATTTTGTTTTAAAAAATAATTATTTCCGAAAAAATAATTACTTATCAAGGGTGCTCGAAAATTAAGCAATTCAACTTCACCCCGCTCGTGGCCTAGGAATATGGGCTTAGCTTGAGAAACTGGAAATTAAATGAAGAGCAGAGTAAACTAAACTAAACGTCCGATATAGGACATATGGTCCATCAGGGCGGCGGGGATCTGTAAATCCTATGCCAGGAATTTTATGTGTGTGTGGGGGGGGGGGCGTGAGTACCCCGAGAAAACCCACTTTCACTGATAATGACCAATCCGTTATCAGTGTCCGGTTAGTGAGAAGAAGTAGGTAGGGAAGGCAAAGTGAAGTCCGGTGCTGGGGATTGATTAACTTTTGAATGAGTTGTCGCCAAATGAACTTCAGACCAAACCAAGCCTTTATAGTAGTGAGGTATCAAAAATCGAAATGGTGTTTTTAAGTGTTCTACACTCACAAAAAAGAAACCTGTCATTCTATAGGTTTAAATAACTCTGTTCCACTATGTATCAGCTGCCTAGTGTCGGCTAAAAATACGAAGAATTAAATTGTAGCGGAATGCTACAAGTTCTTTAAATACCTATAGAATGATAAGTTTCTTTTTTGTGAGTGTAGAACACTTAAAAACACCATTTCGATTTTTGATACCTCACTACTATAAAGG